CCTTCATTGCCAATATTTACTTTGATCAGAGGATCTTGTGCTTGAGCGTATCCAGGTTTGATGATCCGTATTACTTCGTCGTCCAGTTCCCTTGTAAGTACTTCTTCTTCTAAACAGTCCACTTTGTTGACTTCTCGACCAATGCTTTATTCTAACTCGAACACTGCCAACTTGTTCTTCAGCGCTTTTAGGGTTGTCTCTTCTTTCGCCTTGTTACTGCATTCCTTATTGAAAGCCATCAGTTTGGCTTTGAAGGCATGAATATCGGCCATTTACTTTTGTAATTTAGAATCCATTCAAGACTCCTTGATTATTCTTTTGCCAATTACTGGCTCTTCTAGGGCATATTTGGCCTCATCTGTTTGAACATTTCAGTGAGTGCGTCCACTGAAAATGGCTCTTCGCTTTGCGCAACAACTTGGGTCTCTTCCCGTTCTTGTACTACCCTGACAGGTCCATAGTTTCCTTCGTACATGAACTTTTCCACCGAGCTTGCTTCTGCAACAAAAGGCCTATGATCGGCCTGTACCACCTCTGCTTCACTTTTGTTATTCCAAAAGATCAGGCATTGATGGAGCGATGAGGGTATACAGCGACTTCCGTGTATCCAGTCTCTTCCTAGTAGCAGATTGTAACTAGTAGGACCATCTATTACAAAAAAGACAGTGGTCCTAGTAGTCGTCCCTATAGTTATGTCCAATGGCATAACTCCCTTAGCTGAAATTGCTCCTCCATTGAAGCTCGTAAGGATGACTTCTGTAGGAATCATGTCACCCTCTGTCTTTGCGAACTTCCTCATCATCCTAGATGGAATGGTGTTTATAGCTGCTCCATTGTCGACAAGCACTTTTGCCACTGGGATATCGTTAACTAGAGCTTTAACGTACAATGGCCTCAAGTGTTTAGTTAATTTCATGGCTGGCCGTTTAAAAATAACCTTTTCGACATCCTCTATTTCTACTTCCTGCTTGTTTTCTATCAAATTATCCCCCTGTGATAAGTCGATGTGCAATATATCGCGCTGATCCTCTGTCTCCTGAACTTCCTTCTTACTTTTTTCTAATACTTCCTCATCAGTTACCCAACCTGTGGGAGGGGGCATTATTCTTGGAGGTGACTCATATTTCTCGGAGCGAGGCACTCTCTTCTTCCTTTTGGGTGTCCCGTACAGTACATAGAAATGAAAAGGACGCCCAGATGGTTCTCCCAACAAGTCTACTTCGCAAACTCCCTTTCGATGTAGTTGCTTCAGTAGAGTATTGCGCGACACTCCTCTCTTTCTTCCTTCTACTTCTAGGTCGATTTCTTCTTCAATGTCTGTCATCCCGTCGTCCTCTTCATCGTTGTAGGCCTCTCTAGAAGTCTGGCCTTCTTCACACTCCAGCACGCAAGCTTCTCCTTAGTTGTCCTCCCTCTCTTCTTCTTTTTCTTTATTCTTGAATTCATTGGCCAGTAAGTAATTATTGGCCACGACAGAAGGCAACGTACCGAATTGAATAGTAAGGGGCTGATCTGGATCTTCTCCATCCCTTTTGTCTCGCTCAAACTTTGATCTCCCGGAAGAAGTTTCTAGCAGTTCCTTCATTGATTCATCTGTATCGGTCTCTTCACTAACTTTGAGGACATTTTGATTGGCTACCTTGAGTAGTTCAGACGCTTTAGAGTGTGGCACTCCCTGTTGTTGCCTCATCATCCGTCCATAGTTTCGTTGGAAACGCCTTTGTTGGGTTCTAGTCATCTCATCGAAGGGTATTGCCCTTCCTGCACTATACTGGAATGAATGCCATACATTTGCCCGGTGAGATTGCGGCCTGAATGTTCTTCCATTATCTGCTGGCCTGAACTACCTCTCAAAAGGCGGTCCTCTATAGAATGATGTACCTCGCCCTCTACCAGGCTAAGTGTTTGGGAAGAAGGTAGGGCGATGGGGATGCTGCCATATCCCTGATTTCTCCGTATTGCCATTCATTTCTCTTTTACATCTTGCACACAGGACGTCTTCGTCCTTTTTTGGTTCTTTCCCCTTGATTCGTTCAAAGACACTGGGATGTGGTCTAGGATCTTCTTCTCCATCATCTACGACCAACTTGAATTTTGGCAACTTGTTTTTGAATCCAGATGTTACCATGTTCACTCCAAGTGACTGTGGAAAAGGATTTTCATCCACTGCCATTTTTTCTTATCGTCGAACGTAATTCGTCTTGATTCAATGGCATCCTGCAATATATGGCGAAAAACCAAGCAATTGTTAGTCAAATGTAACCATGCATTATGCCACTTACAATATTTTTTACCCTTAATTTGTTCAGAGTTTCACAATTTGTGTTTATCGTTCAACTTTATCTGCTTATCCCTATATAATTTATCAAATATAAGGTCAGCTTTGGTTACATCGAACGAGAACGTTCTAGCCTTTATGTTTCCATCTTTTATGGGCTCATCTTTGCCCGATGGTCTAGGCTTGGCCATTATGGGACAAATATACGTATCTCCTTTGACCAATTCGGCCAAACTTATTTCGGCCTGATCGTATGACTCGTCGCTGATGGTATGAACGTCAAAATTTGGGTCTTTGTAATAAGTCCCTTTACTAGAATTTTTCATCTGTTCTCCCTCTCTTATCAGTCGTTCATACCTAATCACATTCGCACTCAACTGGAAAAGGTAAGGAAATTCCTTATCCTGGAACTTCTTTTTTAAATCAAAGTTGAAGCAGCCCTGAGCGATTTTGACAAATTCTTTTTCAGGCAAATGTACAAAGCACTTGCTTCTTGCTGTCTTGAACCTTTGGAGAAAACTTTCTGCCCATTCGTTTGGCATTTGACATAAATTCGCCAAGTCAGCCAAAGTAATTTCAGATACAGTTTTATAAAATTGAGCGTGAAATAACTGTTCCAATTGTCGCCATATTTGAACAGAGTTCGCTGGCAAGTTGATGAACCAGGAGAAAGCTACTCCTATTAACGAATTAGAGAAAAGTCTCATTTTATGGTAATCGATTACATCACGACTTTGCAATGTGAATCGCCCTATGTATTCTAGAGTAAACACCTCTCCTAAACCGGTAAACAGTGAGAATTTTGGCACTTTGTACCCTCTAGGCCATGGATATGCTTGGTCTACCCAATCAGGATATGACTTTGTGTAAGTCGGCCTAACGACGGGATGCACCCCAAAAGCCATCTGATCCTGCACGATTTCCATAATATGATTCCTCAACATGACGTTGGGATCATATGGAATCCCTACAGGCTGGTTAACCGGTTGATTTGCATGAGGTCTGATGTTTGGTCCTTGATTGGCAACAAAGTTACCATGATTAGGGTCATTACCATTAGCCTGAACATCTATTCCCTCATTAATACGTGGGGTATTCTGTCCATTATTTAGGACATTATCTCTTATGTTTGGATTACCCCCCCCAGTTAGGCGTATCACTACCATTGTTCTGATTTGGCACTGCAGTACCCCCTTGGTTTGAAGTAGAGGGACCAGAAAGTGGTTCTACCCCTTGATTCGGATTTAAGACTGAGGGATTATGTCCCACAATTGTCCTAGTTTGAAAGTGATTTGCAAGAAGTATAACCGGTTGACATATTTGGCCTACTAACTTATTCATTGTTTCGTTCAAAATGTTTAGTTGTTTGGCCATGTTGTCATAATGTGCATTCCCATTTTGGGTAAATCTTTCCATATTATGAATACTTCGAAAATTTACCCGTTCAACAACGTCTTGTGTGAGTTCTCCAAGTAATGCACGCATGGTTCGAGGACTCAACTCCGTCATTGGTTCGTAACGACTGTTACTGCTCTGATTCTGTCCATCTGCTCGTGGAGAGGCATGCTGCTCCTCATATCGCTCGATCACAGACTGGACTCCTCCCTGACTTGCTGCTTCCTTATCGGATCTCTGAGGCATATTGTTTCACCTTTTGTACTTTCAACACCAAACACCACTGTCCCACTGGGTGTGCCAAATTGTTTTCGCGCGGGTTAGTCGCTTAAAAATTAAAAGGGATCAGACGATTGTGTAAGGGACAAATCTCTTGAGACAAAGTCCCAAAAAGGGGTGTTCTTTTATTGGCGATGACTTTACAATTGGAAATAAAAAACAAAAGGCCTCCAAGGGGTGCAAGCACACGGGTTACTGAAAAAAGTGTTTAAGTCTAAAACTAAGGAAATTAAAATTACATGTTCTCTATTCGAGAGTTTTTTATTCGGTTCCTTGTTCTATGTCTTTTCTCCCTTTTTATACTTCATGGATAATCTCTTTGTGATCAACCGCTTAGAAATCGCTTGATCGTTCTACAATTGCTCATTTTCCTCGTAATGGCCAACTTGTCATGAAACTGCCTTTTTTAACTGCAGCCATTACTCTTCGTCGTTCAACCGTTTTTGAGTGAATTCCTTGAATCGTGGAACGTGATAAGGCTGCTTTAATAACTACTTTGATAACTATACTTCTTGATAACCACAACGCTTTATGTTTGTTAAGACCTTGGGCGACTTGAAGGTTTGGGCGAGAATAGAGTAAGAGCCTTGGGCGACTGCATGGCACTCCATTCGCTCATATTCTGGGCGACTTGCAAACTTGGGCGATGTCGTTACCGCGTTCTTGGGCCTCCTTATTTGGGCATTCATCTTAAATTGTTTGATTGAGTTTCGTTTTTTGGACTATCTGATTTGGGCTGAATTTTTATGTGTCAACACTTTTTTTCATGAAATCCTATTCAGAAGTAATCCAAATGCAAAAATGACTTAATCAAAGAACCCAAAATAATAATTCAAATTTCATCCCGAAGACATGATTCTGAGCATTCTTTCCTTAAAAATGTTTCGAAATTAATTATTCTAAGTAAATGCAACATTTTAATAATTGTTAAAGTTCAATTACTATTAGAGGCCTCTCCCAAAATCTAAAGCAATGTTATCAAAGAACAGGAACGTAAAGAAATCTATTAACAATCAGGTAGATTTATTCATCAAGAGACTGAGCGTACCTGCTAACTATTAGTAAGAACTTTTATCTACTGATCAAGCCGCTGTGCTTTTCTAACATTGTCATCCATCCTGTTCTCAAATCGGGGAAAAACTGAACGATAACGAACGGCTAAAGCTGGAGTGGTAGGGTTTATTGAGAATATTAACGTCCGCTTGATTTGTACGTAGCACCCATCAACAACAAACTAGGATTTCATAATTCCATTTCCTCCCTCCACTTTGCACTCTGCAAGGATACAACACTGCTGGAATAGAAACGAACCAAGGTAACACATCTTTAAGTCCTTGTTTGTTTGAATTCATAATCAGTTTTTCACTGTACTCATTTTTCAGCTTGTTCTTACAATCTTACTACTTAATTTAGGCCTCGATAACCAAGTTAATATAAAATTTGAAATAAATATTATTTTGATTGAGGAAGTTTTTTAGAAATAAAATAAATATTACTCAAAATAAGTTGTAAGCTCCACAAACTTGATTAGATATAATTTAAAAAAAAAAAAAAAAAAAAAAAGGGGAATTTTTT